GATTGTGTAAATTTTCCGCAAGCTTAGTCCTTTGCTGACTTTTGTGTTTTTCTTTATTTCGATCATGAAATCGATCATGGAACAGACCATTATAGACAGGTTTTTAGTATTTATTTATTTATTTATTTTCAGTTGTTCTAAATATCTCTAATGTTTTTCATTGAAAACTATTCCACTTCTGTTGAGTGCAAATTTCCTGCAAAATTTTTGATGATGCCGCGCCACACGTGCTTCAGCTTTATACCTCTATTATGGTGGGCATGGTCTATTCCGTGATTTCCCACTTGAGCGACATTTATAGAGAGAGAAAACTAAAAATGAATTACTTTAATTTGCATGAGAAAACTTTCCATTTAAATATTTAAAGGAATGATAAACAGTCAGGATCAATTCTTTGTGGCGACAAATACGTTTCCATGAAATTCCCTAGACCTCCCTCCTTTTTGTATTGGGGGATCGAGGGAAAATCTTTGTAAAAAGATCCTACCAATTTCTCACAAGTACGCACGTGCGTATTTTCGTAAAAGACGCTACGCCCCTGCCTGCGATGAACAATTATGAAACACTCTCGCCGCCGCCATATCACCGTGCTAAATTCAGTTGTTACAGCGCTGCTGTCAAGAATCCTCAGAACGCCGACCCTAAGCAGCACCCGTCACCATTACACTCTCACGGTGAACCAAGACTCCCCCGGCAGCCTATGAACTGGGAGGTGGACAACCACCAGTCCTCGCACTTTCAAAGGCAGCAACAACCGCCCGCGCTACAGATACCTCCTCACTTCCCTACAGGCTGGCAGATGCCCAGTAAACCTCACCATGGTAAAGACTCTCATGTTGAACTCCCTCAGGAACTTACATCTTTTTTTAGAATCATTAAATCCTTACTCTAAATAATACCTAATTATTTACTAGGATACGATTAGAACATGCCATAAGATCTCATTAATGTTGGCAGATTGCTCGAATCGCTCCCCGACTGGTAGTCTGTCGTTCTTTTCGTGGAACATCAATGGGATCTTTGCTAAACCCCTTGGTGATAAATTGCAAAATAATGAATGTTTGAATTTGATTTCGTGATTCTTTGTGAGACCTGGAAGTAGACGATTATCGACGTAACAGGATATCGATCGGTAGTTTCAGGTACCTCAAAATTAGGAAACAATGGTCGCAACTCAGGAGGAGTTGCTTTACCCTACAAAAATGAACTCCATAATTGGGTATCAATGGAAAAAATAACTCCGAACTTTTTGCGGTTCAAAATTAGCAAACAGTACGTAAAAACCTCAAAAGATATTTATGTTTGTGGCGTCTATATTCCGCCTAACGGCTCAAAATACTTTCTCCCTGAAATGTTTGAAGATCTTGAAAACGACGTTGAAACTTTTTACTCTCAAGGATCGATTCTTCTCATGGGTGACTTTAATTCTAGAACAGGAAAATATTCGGATTGTGTAAGCCAAGAAGGAAACACCAAGATTACCAATGATCAGTCCCATCTTTCTTCAGGTTGCACTCATAGAAATAGTTCTGACAACAACATTAACAATCACGGAAAACGCCTTCTTGAAATCTGCAGAAG